ATTTTCTATGCACTTTTGCTAATACATGCAGTAAGTAGCAAGATTCAGGAACAGAGAGGTGGAAGCCTGGCCCAGAGGGACATACCTGTAGTCTCCGCTACTCAACAGGTTGAACCCCAGAGTTCTCTTGAGCCCATAAGTTCAAAGACAACTGAAGAACAAAGCCAGATCCCATCTCAAAGCAGGGATGTCTTCTTTAAAGATTCAAATTTGGGTAAAATATTTGAGAACGAAAAAAATAAACTGCTCTTCTGAATCATTAAAAAAAAAAATACACATTTCAATAGCCAATTATCAACCCAGGCACAAAACACTGTCTACCTCTTCCACAGTAGACAATCAGGAAGACACAAGGAAAGAGTTTCAACCTGTCCTACCAAAGACTCAGTTGACTAAAGCAAGAGGAAGCCTTTCTTAGAGTAGAGCTACAAGACATGGGCAAGGCAGAGCCAACTACACATGACTGAGTAATACACCCTAGAGAAATACTCAATTCTCAACTTCCTTGTCCATAATCTTTCCAATTAGTATTTGTCAAGTGTCATTCTGTTTAAGTTAGGTAGCATCCATTTGAGAATTACCTCTTTATTAGCATATATTCCCAAGAACCATACTTTGCTGTTATAAATTAGACCATTCAACTGTAGGTGGATTTTTCTGGTAGTTTAGGACATTTGATGCACTTTCATGTACAACAAGAGAATTACGTTTTTAATAGAGAATGACATGTTAATCACAGCCAAGACACTGTGATGATCTATGGCTTATCACTTGCTATCCAACCTCAGCGTTTTGTCCACTCAACTATGACGTCAGAGAGCTAAGCTTAACTTGGTCTTAAGTACAAAATCCATGAACTATTTCCATATGCCATGACCATTCAGTTGAAGAATTGTTTATACACCACTTTATTAGCCATATCTGGAAAATATGACGCACCTGTTGCAAAATATGATTACTTCAAAATGCTAACAAATGTGAAACCAGATTTCCATAATAAATCAGTCCAAATGAATTAGACTATTCATATACTTCCAGAAAGCCCTTTCATCCCTATTAAGTTAACAGTTTGTGAATAATGAAAGTAATTAATATTAATTTTAGTTGACAAATGCAACACCAATAACCTGTTTGGACACTTTAATCCATTTCCCAACAGCCTGCAAAACATTAACAGATGCTTTCAATCTTGCAAAAGAAAAAGAGTGATGAGCATTGCTTTGATGAGACCAAATGTTCAAAATATGAATATTGTGATTAAATTTGATCTATATAAACAGTGCTCTATATAACCTTGTTAAGTATTAACAGAAGGTAAAAACTATAAACTACGTCAGCTCTTTTGAAATCAAGATCAGTATGCTTTCTTCCACTCATCATGCATATGCTTCAACTGAGAAGATACCTAAATTTACTAAGACTTACTAAGACTGTAAACGCAACAGGACTAATGGGAAAGGGTCCTCTGATTCAGTGCACGTTTCCAAGTGTCCAAGACAAAGCTGAGCATACAAAATATGGCAGCACTTGTCAGTTTGAATAATAGCTGTCCAATAGAGAGAGACAATTAAACAGATAAATGAGAGGAAGAAGAAGAAAAAAAAAAGGAAAACGCTTGGAAATTTCCACATATATTTCCAAAAGAAAGGCTTAAAGATATATGTACTTTCAAAGAGATGACCAAAGCATTTCCTCACTAGAACAGTGATATGAATGGGAAAAGAAAGATTAAATTTAAGAACAAGATCATATCTAACTGAAAATACATAGGAACAATACACATGTATATCATATATACATATATATGCATACACATATACAAATATATATACATATACGTATACACACACACACACACACACACACACATGCTCAACAGGAGTTAAAAGATAAAAGTCCATATCCCATATCCTTATCAAGAACGTGACTATGAATGTGGTCAGGTAAGGAAAGATGGCTCTGTGTAAAGTAAAAAGTACTTTATGATCACTGAGCAGTGATCACACAGTTTAAAAGAAAAACAGGTTAACATAAAGACTACCTAGCTGAGTATTGAACTCTAGAGTCAGAGGTTGGAGAATTTTTTTTTCCAGATAGTGATTATATACAAAAAATTTAAATGAAGTTTCCCATCCCTGGTTATTGACAGTCAATGGTTCTCTTGGGGAACTAATGTTAGCCCAAGTGGCATAATTTCATATATCTCACATATGTACTGTGTAGAATTTCACACAAATATAAAATAATATAAAATATAAAATAAATAAAACATATTATTTTATAATATATAACAATAAATAGCATATGAATTAAATTTTACATATATAATAAGATAAAATAAAAATATTTACTTGAGGGACTATCAGACAATCTTTTTTTTTTTTTTGAAAAATTTATTTATTTTTATTCTTTAATCTGTTTTTATAGTCCAGACTTCGTCCCTTCTCTTTGAGTTTGAGGACAACCTGGTCCAAACAGTAACTTCTAAGACAGACAAGACTACACAGTGAGGGCCTTCCATATCTATATATATACATATAATACACACACACACACACACACACACACGTGCACGCGCGCGCGCACACACACACACACACACATAGAGAGAGAGAGACAGAGACAGAGACACAGAAACAAATAGAGAGTAAAGGAGATAAGAAAAAGAAGGACTGAACAGAAAGGATAGGAATGAGTAAAGGGGGAAAGAGAAGAAAGAGGGAAAGAAAAGAATCCAGCCCCGTTAGCACAGGAACCCAATGCAGATATCAGGTTCCTCCCCACTTTTCAATATGTTGCAAACTACAAATCCCAACAACTTGAACTAGAAACTAAAGACTCAGTCTGTCATAAATATCAGGGCATAAATACTGACCCTTCCCACCCCCCAAAAAAAGAAAAAAAGAAACTTCAAGGTTCTATTTGATTGGATTCACCTCCTTTATTCTATGCATTTCCCAAGCTTAGAAAACGCGTAGGACTGTTATCTCCACAGTAAAATGCCCAAGACTTAATTTCCATCCTTATTAACTGAGATGGATCCAAATTATTCACTGCAGAGATTCAACAGGCTACAATGCAGACACACTTGTATAAGCATTACATTTTTCACTAATTGAAGACTTTCCTTAAAATGCAGACTAATGGTTAAAACACATCCCTAGCTGCCCCTCGATCTATGCCTACCCTGCACAAACAGGAATGTCAGAAAATGGAATAGGATTGTGATCTGGACTAAAGAATGTTAGGGAGGAAGATTTGCTTCTTCATTCAGAAATGATCAATCGTAACCAACTTTGGGATCATTGTACATAGGCAAATGTGAACATTACATCGCAGCGGACAGGCCAAAAACAGCAACCTGTCCATGCCACACACACATCCATACGTGATTTTTGGAATAACCTTTTTTCTTTCATTTGGATCACTTTCAATAAATGTCTATACTTTCTCTCTAAAAGCAACACAATGGCTGCCCTTTTTCATTGAAATGCTTATGTACTAGAAATGTTGGAAAAATACCCATGACTCATCATGCAATGCTCTCAAGGAATGATCCACTGACATCAATATCAAAGAAATAGTCATTTCACAGACTATGTCTTATTGTCATTATGAAATGTTAGTATTGCTCAGGATCAATCCTGGCTTTCAAGTTCTTTTTATTCAGTGCAAAAAAAAAAAAAAAAATCATTCACAGTCACAGGATTAAACACATAAACATCACCCATGCTGCAGGTGAGCTGAAGAAACACACTGTGTAAACACTGTCAGCTTTAGTTGAGTAAGGGATTTTATAGCAAACCAAACAGTCAAAATAACGCAGAGGCAGACAGGAGTAAGACTACTCAGAGAAGCATCCTTAGACTCGTTTCAACCACTATTAGATTTAACAAATGGATTCTCCCCCTTGCAACCATGAATCTCAAGGCTAAAGTTAGATGTCTTAAGAATTTTTAAAGGTCCAATTATTTCATTTAGGGCTAACACTACAGCTAAATTAAAGACATGCTAACAAGTTTCCCTTTTGAGCCTCATTAATTAAGAAAGTAATCAGAGAAAGATGGGGGGAAGAAGGGTAGCTCAGTGGCAGCTCCACCTAAATAGCTTTGAGGTACCACCATTTTTCCCTACTACCAAGGCGAAGGGAAAACTAATCAATTCCAGATTGTGAAATCGGAAATTCTGAAGTGTTTTACATGTAAATACATATTTTAACTACACACATTTCCCTTGATTGCCTGAAGACTGAACTAATCTTATTCAAAGTAAATTTTGATTCACCATAATCAAAAGGTAAAATTAAGACCTGCTTACTTCACAAGTTTTCCTTGGGTGAGCTTGTCAAAAATTCCTCGCTATCTTTAAAGGCCACAATAAAGAATTTTCAATATTTAATTCAAGACAAATCCTGCACAGAAATACCTGCTAATTCTACAATTACTTGGTAGACAAAGTTTATAATTTAGAATTATTTCTTAAAGAGTTTCTAACTTACGATTATATTTTAAGAAGCATTTCAATAGATACAAATGAATTTTTAAGGTTCAGTCAATATTTGTAAATGGGTATGATGATCAATTTGAACCCAACATATGAAGTATATCTAGCACTGTGTTTAGTAAACAGCATATATTTAAAAAGCCAATTCCTCTCTAGATATAGCAAGGCAAAATGAGATTTCACTTCACTTTGTCTCTGGAAATGCACATCTTTGAGAAGGCCTAACTGGCCTGAATAGAGCAGCTTTGAAATGATATTCCATAGAAAACTAACTATCAAAGTGCATATTCAGCATTTTTTATTTAAAATAGTTCATGTTTATCACCTGTGTGAGAAAAATTGCTTTGAAATGTCTCATTAGATCATTTATGTATATATTAATAGAAATATAGTAATAGAAATAAGGGACTCTTGGTGTATTTTACATATTGGTAACTATAAAGAATCAATGTTAAAATTTTTCAAAATAAAGCTAATAACCAAACTATTAAACTTACCTCTTTCTTGGCAACAAAATGTGTTCTCAAGTTTACAAAGCAAATCCCTATTTTCATACTTATTTTCATTTACTTTTATCCAGAAACAGTTCTCAGACATTTCATTTGGTCCGATCTGCAATCAGAGAAGAGCAACTCATAAACAGCTGGACACTTTACCCATCCTGGGCCAATCAGAACACACAGACCAACATCCCAGGGCTCCAACAGATGTTCATGAAGTCATCTCCCTAAGATATGTCCCAAAAGTATGCTCAGTGATAGACAGATCCTACAGAATATTGATGTCTTATGAGAAGAAAAAAACAGTTTCCTTGATAAAATGATTGTGAATTTAAAGCTACATGCATTGAAGATTAACTGGTTTCTTCATCACTGTGATTTGTGGTTAGTAATGTTCATTTGCACTATACATCCTGAAGGGAGTTAACTTCACACAAAATATCTTACATTTACATGATCTGGAGACCATCCTTAGCAGTATTCAGAATATCTATGACCTATGTGCAAACTAATAACTCCCAACAGGAAAAAGGAACTATAAAAGCTAACATTTTGAATTTTTGAGAAACACTTCATATGTATACGTTTAAAGGCAATAAAAGTGAGTTATCAATTTATTTACAAATCAAATTCCAATGACACTGTCAACTCACACCAAATTTACAAATCAGAAATTGTTAGACTATAATAAAGTACTTGACTTCAAAACTTCCAACAAAAAATAACGATGCATACATAATATATATGTAGGATACATATTATACATACATATATTACAAATGTATGTATGCCATATCATGTGTTGTCATTAGGAGTAGAGTTCCCATCGAACAAGCTGTATTAGTAAATCTAAGAAGTGTTAATCCAGAAAGAAGTATGTCTACTCCCACTAGTAAGCCTTACCTTTAACCAGTTCAATCTTCTCATGCTGACTTCAGGTTTAAATTCTTTCTTTGGTTTCAACCCAAATGGCAGGTTTAATGGAAAAGAGCTTTGCCCACCGAGAAATCCCAGGGGAGGTGGTGGTGGTATGGGGCCACCAAATGGCATTGCCATTCCTGGAAGTGGTGGAGGTGGTGGAGGAGGGGGCGGTGGGGGAGGCGGAACTCCTGCACCCAGTGCTGGTGGGGCAGGAGGAAGGGCTGAAGGGGCAGCTTCACCTTCTGCTGAAGTTTGCAAAGGAATTTTTGTACCAGGTGGCAAGGCACCAAACTAGAGAAGGGAAGATGAACAGAAAAATACTAAGAATGTGTGCACAAACAGTAAAAGTACTTTGATTTCAAAAATAAGTTATTAAATTTAAAATGTCATTATTTAGCAATTGCTTATAAAATTCTAGAAACATTTCATACAATTTTTCATTCTCCAGAAACTGTAATTTCCTCATTTTGAAGCAGTTGGTGATAGAAATGGTTCCATGAGGCTAGAAGTCTTAACTGTCATCAGTCTCCAAGTAACACTAGAAGAAGGTCCATTCATGGTATTCAGAGAGGATACAGCGGGGGAGCGGGGAACCGCTGTACAGACTGTTTTATATACTTCACATATGTACATATATATGAGAAACATTATTACACTATTACATTTTCTCAGAATACAAAAAGGATAGTAAATGTCTATGTTTCCTATAGATAATAAGATTTCACATATGAAAAGATTCAGGAAAATATATATACCCGTTATTACCAACGTTAGTACCTCTGCTCCAGTCTTCTGCATAGTGTTCAAATACATGTCAGGTGAAGGGAAGGAACCTTAAATTCTAGTAGAGCCTACAAGGCACACCACTGATTGTCTCCTGACCACCATTAGGACACGGACTTTTAATTCAACGTATGTGCCAAACTCAAATATTTATATACAATATACTAATATCAGGTTCCAAATAGCAGTTGTCCCACTTGCCCAGAATATTGGTTACCATCTTCTACCCGCTCTTCCAATCTGAACTAATAGGTCCTTCCTCCAGACAACTTGTCCTGCCCACTCCATCATGTCCTAGCGTACCCCTATTCTTCTCACAATCTCTCAGCAAAGCTCTGATGCAATTATGGGCAGGACCATTGAGATATGAAAAGGACTAAAGAAATGCTCATCTCATTGATTTATGAGGGATCTGACTATGTTCTGTTTATCATTCAAAGGCTGTGACAGGTAGACACAGTGACTGAAGAAACAAAATGGGTAAATGAATAAAAAACAAAATAAAAATGCAAGCAAGGGGCACAATCAGGAAGTAAAGGAATATCAAATTTCTTGAGGAATGGGGCTTTTGACTGTCAAATGTCACAAATAAATTAAAATCAGGACCTGCAAAGAATCCAATGTCTACTCCTCATTTTGATGGCTACATTCTCACAGACTACATAAAGTGGAGTGAATGAACTGTAACTGTGCAGAAGAGCTCTGCACAAATTAGCGCAATTTCCTGAAATTACTAAGAATCTAGTTAGGTATATAAATATATTCCTATGTCCCGGAATACACATAAAACAGGTTACAGTGTTGGGAACAAAGGAAGGAAAATATAAACAAATGTCCTAAGTTGTTAAAGAATGACTATGCATGGGAATCTTATATTACTACAGCAAGTTTCTACTCCAATACCCATGAACAGAGAGTGTCAGTGTGTAAGATTTAAAACAATCTATGGATTGCTTTATTTTATTTCAGTTTTACAGCATAAATTTCCCACATTATAACAAAAAAAATCCAACAATAACATGTCCAAAGATCATGAGTGTATATTTTAATCCTGAATTTTCAAGAAGTAATCATTCAAATGGATAATTTCAAAATAATATTTTGAAATGTATATAAGGCAGAGATAGAAAAAATAGTCACAAATATTTCAGCTATTGTCTTTAAGTCAATAATCTATAAAAAAGGACACACTCATACACACACACAAATATTTCACTTAATATAAAAAGAAACTTCTCTTTATCAGAGCCTTGCTGAACATGGTACTTCATACAAGAAAATAAAAAAGAAAATGACAACAATATTTTCTTTTTATAGTCATACTCTGTAGCACAGGCTGGCCTCAAACTCTCATCAATTCTCCTGCCTCAGACTCTGAAAACCTAAAGACTATAGACATAAAGTACCATGCCTGGGTAATAGTTTTCTTGTTTACAAAAGGTTTTACTTTTTAGCAAAAGCTAGGATGTTATAGAATTTCTTCCAGAAGTTTTAGTCACAAAGTTAGCACTGTGTACGCAAAAGCAAACAAAAAGGCCAGTAATGTTGGAAACAACGCACCTGAGTCTAATTCCATCCAGTCATAAGTTAGCATGACAGAGAAAGGTCAGAGGAGGATTGCTGCTCTGGATTGCACACGGAGGCCTATAGGAAGGCATGTAGCTGAGAATGGCCATGTACTGAATGCAGATGACGTACTTGCCATCTCATGTCTTATGTGTACAGTGCGCAAAGGAACTATCTGTTCACAATCCAGATTTTCTCCTTTTTGTCATGTTTAAATCTATTTACTTTTGGAAATTGAAAAATTATCAGAAAATGTTCCCATTCACCTAGAGGTTATCTTTTATGGCAAGGAAACCCATAGGCTGAAGGTTTGAAAAAATAAATAGCTCAAGTAATAATTTCCTGCAGTGGGATAAAGATCGGTGATGGATGACAAATGTAAGAGTAAAGACTTTCTTAACCTTTATGCTTAATTACTTAGGAAGCATGTGATTTTAACACACAACCCAAGTGAAGCATAAGAAGCCGGTTAATTAGGAAAATCCTGGATATCCATAAAAACACAAGGAAGAAAAGTGTGACAATGAATAGCTTTACAGTATACACAGCAGCCTAGAGACACATATGGATAATAGTGGAAATGTACAAGAAAAAGTAAAGTTTATACATTTTGAGACTGTGAAGATCTAAGATGACCTTTGTTCCCCTGGTATGATTTCAAAATCAAATTCACTCGAGATGGTATTTTACCTGGGATTTAAAAGCTTGTAACTCTGCTTGAAGCTCATTAATCTTTGCCTCTTTTTTCTGCAGTTGAGCCTGGGTTTCTTGGTGGTCAGTACACTCTTTTTCAAACTGAAAAGGAATAAAAGAGAGGTAAAGATGGAAATAAAAAGCATTATTCCTCATATAAAAATATGGCTCTAATGATCTGTCAATAAAACACTTCTGAATCGGTTTCATAAAAGGAGTGGCATATTCCTGACAAGTCGCCCACAAGCCTTTCTCTACGACTCTCCAGGTCTCTGAAAAATCATTTATTCAGAAGGGAAGAGACAAAACCTGAAGTGGAAGACCATGACCTTCTATTTCCAACAGAGCAAACAGGGCCATAGTTATCTACAACGGTGGCATTTTTCTTAAAAGTCTGTAAATATCATGGCGATTTTGAATAAAGCAACAGAAAGCAACGCATTGTATTGCTTTGACTGCCAACCTCCACCTGCAGAACCTGACACTTGAAATGTAGCCGAAGTTCATCAGTATGATTTAGAACTATTCTGTTTTAATAGTTTTAGTGGTTGGTAACTTCAATCCATAAATACATTAACTGTTCGGTTTGTTTTTCTTACAGCTTATCTCTTGCTATCATACAGAGATTAATGATAAATTAGTTTTTCAAAGTCCCTGGTGCAATACCTTCTGGGAGGAAGGCAAATAATAAAATCTGGTGTTCCAATGAGTTTTCTAATTTATATAGCCACTCATCACAGGTTCCCATCTTGCATTCAAATAGTTTCACTTTCCCATCATCAAGATTCAAAACCTATCCTGAGGGAACTGAATTTAAATAGAGCATTGTCTCATAATCAAGAACAAGTATGTGGCACTTTTTCAAAGAAAAAAAAACACAAAAAGATACAAGTTCTTTGTGCCTCCAGACTGTGCATATTGTTCAGTACAACTGGGACCACTCTTATGGCTTCTAATGCTGCAGCAAAATACTATGACAAAAAAAAAAAAAACAAGCTGGGGAGGGGAGGGTTTATTCAGCTTACACTTGTTCATCACAGCGCATCATTGAAGGAAGTTAGGACAGGAACTCAGGGCAGGATCTTGGAGGCAGGAGCTGATGCAGAGGCCATAGAGGGGGGCTGCTTACTGCCTTGCTTCTCATAGTTTGTTCATGCTCCTTTCTTCTGGAACTCAGGACTACCTGCCCAGAGATGGCACCACTCACCATGGGCTTGGCCCTCTCCCAGTGATCACTAGTTTCAAAAATGCTTTACAGTGTGATTTCATGGAGACATTTCCTCAACTGAGACTCTTAAAGAGGAATTTTAACCCAGCAACATGACTGTTCTGCCAAGGGATAATATCCAAAGACCTAGGTCTGTATGATCGTGTTGGAATGCAAATCCATCACTCACCTCTAATACCTCTAGCTAGAATACAAACATGCCCTTAGTACAACCTTTCATCCCAAACAATGAAGGTACATTTAGTTTTTAAAGGATGTATTCATGTTTGAAAATGACATCTAATTGAAGAGCAGAGAAAGTAACAAATCAGAGAAAGGTTTAGCAGAATGAATCAAAGATGGGATACACCCAGCTCTCATGAGAACAGACAGGAAAGAGGTAACATACAAGCAAGTAGCACAGAGAAAAGGAGAGAGGAGGCAATGACCGTTTTACAGAGACAGATTGCAGGTGAAGACAGAATAAGTCAGAGAATGAGAAGGAGCCAGAAGATTAGAATAGATTTCCGGAGTTAGTTTGAGACCAAGCAGAGCAATTCAGTGAGAAGATGAGACAAGCAAGATTGAATCAATCCGCTTGGAAAGGAATTTGGGCGAGAACACCTGAGTTGAACCAGCCAGCCTGAGTTCAGGAAGAACTAGAAAGGGTGAGTTTATTCAGAAGCCTCCAAGATGACAACTACATCTGGTGAATAAAAATTACCATGACATAATCTAGCTTGGGAATACTCAAGCTAGACACCAAGTCAGCGAATACAGCCACTAAACTTACCAAAGGCTGTTACCTCTATTTTGTTTACAGGGGAGTTGTTATTTTCCCCATAACATGGAAAGGCAGTAAAGACTCCATATTAAGTAAACAATCTGAGATTTAAAAATAAGAACAGTTTCTGTTTTCACAATCTGAGTTACTCAGGTGAAATCTCAACACATTCTGATAATGAATGCTCTTATAATGGTTATCAATTTCTTAATAAAAGTTTAGAGCAGTTTACGTTCCCAGGAACAGGCAGAAATGATACATAGACCCACATCCCACATCTGTATGGTATCCCAGTTCTTTAGTCTTTGAAGTACAAAAGTATCTTTAGGTTTCATAACCTAAATTCCTGGAGTTAGAAAAGTTACTTTCATTTCTACCTTCCAAGTGAGAAAAATAAACTGCAGACTACAGATCCTTATTTCATATCCAGCATCATTGTAATGATAAGGAGGGAATAGAGGGAGGGAGGGAGGGCAGTTGAGATGGAGCGCTTGGA